TCTTCAGACCACTTACGTCTAATATACCAATTACGTATAAATAAGAAGAATCAGTAAAATCTATCGATAAACAAAGAAGTTGTGCCCGAACTTCCAACAATATATACCTACACAGACAAATTGAGAATCCTCTTCCTTTTTTAAAGTCGTTAAAAAAAAGTTGTAAGTATTATACTTAGTTTGATTGTTGAAGTGCATAAAGTCAATATGTTACCGAAATCATTTGCTACATTTTATTTTCTTAATCACCTAACCAGCCCGAGATTATATGATAAAAATATTATTAATTTTAGTTTTTTTTTAATTATGTTATCGAAAATGAGAAAGTGCCGTGAAGACTAGTAATGCTTATCAAAGGTTTTGTTTCCCTTCAGGATCATTAACGTAACTGTGAATAATGTCAAGTAGCCAGGAAAATGATAATGCAACAATTTATGTTTCCACTTCTTGACATGATAACATTGTTAATAATAATTGTTTTTCGCGACATATTAAATATTATACACTTATGTCTTGATCTACAAAATGAATGGTATTGTTTATTTTTAATGTATATTATAAATTATTTTTAATGAGTATTTAATGTAAATATAGGGAAAGAAAAAATGTATTAGTTTTTTATAGAAATATAACATATAGATATGACACACCACATCACAATATTGCTATAATGCAATGATAAGAAGCGTGATTGCACAATAAGAGTATCTATGTCTCCCTCTCGTCTAGTATTATGTCAAGAGCTGATTATAGTCTCTTATACTTATAAAAATATAATTAAAGTAAAATGTATAAACTACCTGACCAAATTTTAAAATTCCTCCCACTTTAATATTAATCAAGCCGTTTAAGCCAGAAGTAAACCTAAAAAAATAGCGGACATACAAAGAAAGTAAAGTTTATTCTTACGGTTTATTGTACGTTCTAGTACTAGGTTGTCCTCTAAATTATTATAATTTAGAGCTATGATAACTCAGAGGCTAAGCGTTTATTATAACTTTCACAGTTGAAGAGCATCGTGGGTTTGGTGGTTTTCTTTATTATATAAGTAAAACTATGTTTTTAAACATATACAAGTGGAATATGTGGAGCAATGAAGAGGAACCCAACATCAACGATCTCAGATTATATCTACTACACTATAACGTCTCGATCGTGTCGTAAGAGGTGACAGAAAGAAGCTGACACAGATGGGCAGCAGCCTTTGATAACAACTCAAAATAATTAAAAAAATTCTGTTCCTAACCCACCTACCAAACGATGCAACTGTGGCTGAATCCTGTCTTTCGTCTTTAGTTGGGTATAATGCAGTCTAGGGTTGAATGAAATTCAGATATTATATTGCCATAAGTATCAGTTCCGTGGTATTTCAGTTGTTAAGCGCTCACTGTGAATTTCCCTAGTTCGATCCCCATTTGCAAAAACAAATGGTTAATTGCAATTTTATGTTCTGATTTAACCACGTACTCTGCAGTGGAGGCAAACATCTTATGAAGTCGTGAACATGATTTTGGGCTACGCGTTGGACACTACACTATTAAACGCATTTAGAAGTGAGAGGAGGCCTGTACCGTAGGCATTGACTTATATATTACTAGCGTAAGGACCGGGTCGACCGAACAACTAAAACGGACCAGTGCGCTGGCCCTAAAATTACAGTTTAGGGCCAACGCGAATCGGTCGACAGTGGTGCGCACGGAGGACAGATTTGCCTGTCATAAATATGTCTAGTTGCATGGTAAAAGGATGCAAAAATTATGATACAAGGATTAAAAAGGAACATGAGATATCGTATCATCGGTAAATAACCTTATATTAATTTTGTTACAATAAAATTTTTATATAAACGCATTTCTAAAGTTTTATTTTACAATTAGTTTATTAACGTTACCAAGATTAGGCCAGGGTTGGATTCAGACCCTCAAAAATATTGTACATGGAGGATAAAATAATATTATTTTTAAAAAATTGTATCACGTTTGACGTTTCATGTTTCTTTTTTCCCATGTGCCGGGATTTTGTGTCACGCGTCTAGTTTGTCTATACGTTTCATTTTTTAAGGGTTTTATTTTCATTTCCATTTAATTTTTGTCTAAAGAACTTAGTGTATGTTAAATTTTGAATATTGGTACCTAATATATTTTATATTCAATAAGGTTTAAACGAAAAGAGTATAAAAGAAACCATATCTGCCTAATTTGATCTGAAAATCTGATTCATAAAATATTTTGAAATTCTGTTTTCAAACCGATTGCTTCTGGAGCATAGAGTTTTTATCGTGGTAGCCCCTCATTATAGTTGTATCAAGGATGCAACATAAATGCATCGATCGAGCATCGATTGACCAGAAAGGGAGCTAATTCTAATTTTATTAAAAACGCGGTATTCATGTACAATACAGAATTTCTCGATATCGTAGGGTTAATATTAAAAAGTAAAAGGACCCAATAATAGTACAAGTCGACGTTTAGGTAAAATTATGGTATTTTCGCGTAGTATTATTACGATACTATAAAGACAAACTATGAAATAATGATACAATGAGGATAATTATACTAATAATAATAATAATATCTGGATCTGGCTCACGAGGTGACCCGACATGTGGGGTGGTATGCCGGCCGAAATTATTCCTGTAATCGTCTCTGCGAATGGGCTAATCCCAGTTAGCCTCTCGGGTCATCTGAGGCGACTGGGACTCCGTGACGGACCGCTCCGGGCTCAAATGCAGAAGGCGATGCTCCTCGATACCGCTCGCATCGTCCGCCGGTTTCTTTCCCTTTCCCCCTAACCCTCGGCCGTTTGGTCTCCCCTGCCCAAGGCCTCCATCTGGCTGGGCTTTTATTTATATATGTATTTTTATATTTATTTTATGTTATTGATATTTATGTATATTTATCTTTTCATTTTCATTTATAATTATATATTTATAGAACCCAGCCAGATGAGAAAACTATATTTATACCCCCCAATAATAATAATAACTTCTCCGCCGCCTGGATAGACTACAGAAAGGCATTCGACTCGGTGCCCCATACATGGCTAAAGAGAGTCCTCCAGCTGTACAAGATTGACTGTACAGTTGGAGACTTCCTCGAGCAGTGTATGGGGCAGGACGAGCGGATGATGGCTGCGGAGAACCACATAAGGATGAGAAGGGGTATCTTCCAGGGCGATTGTCTGCGTCCAATCTGGTTTTGCTTCTCTCTGAACCCTCTCAGTACTTTACTAGAGGGCTCCGGGAGGGGATTTCAGCTTCGGAAAGGAAGTACAAAAGTGACCCACCTTTTCTATATGGATGACTTCAAGTTATTCGCCTCCAGTCGCTCCCATCTTATGGAATTGCTAAACATCGCTTGTGAATTTAGCAATTCTATTGGAATGGAGCTGGGGACGAATAAGTGTGCGGTCCTCCATGTTGAAAGGGGAAGGGTTGCTAACTCGGAGGGCATAGACTTATCTATGCCCGTCAACTTAAGGACCCTTTCTGAGGCTGAAACATACCGATACCTGGGTATGTCACAGAACATCGGTATCGATGCGGCTGGAATGAAACAGTCAGTTTGCGACGGGTTTTATGCACGCTTGACCAAAGTGCTTAACGTTTTGTTCGTGTGAATAAGACACACGCATATAACGGCTGGGTCATGCCTGTTCTCATGTATACCTTTGGCATACTCAGGTGGACTCAGACTGAACTTAACGCCTTGGATAGAAAAGTCGCACTACAATGACGTCCTATAGGATAGATAGGAGATCGTCGGTAATGAGGCTGTACTTGCCGCGAAAGCATGGTGGGCGTGGCTTCTTGAGCGCGCTCACCACGCATAATCGCGAAGTGTGCAGCCTCCGTCATTACTTTCTGGCGAGATCGGATGATCCATTCTATAAGGACGGCATTTTTTGTGATAAAGGACTTACCCCTCTATCCTTAGCCAATGAGAAATGGCAGGACCCGGCAGTGCAGAGCATTTCCTACCGGGAGACCGTATGGAAGGAGAAGGAGCTCCACGGGAGGTAGTACAGGGCTCTACATGAGCCCCACGTCGATACAGCCGCCTCCCTCAACTGGCTACGTTTCGGTGACGTCTTCGGGGAAACCCAGGGTTTTGTCTGTGCAATACAGGATCAGGTTATTAAGACCAACAAATATCGGAGATAGATCCGAAAGGATGGCACTGTCGACGTCTATTGAACTTGTCGCCATCCCGGGGAGTCACTTAGGCATGTTATCTCCGGTTGTTCGGCGCTTTCTAACTCTGAGTACTTGCACAGGCACATCATAGTAGCCAGAATTCTACACCAGGAGCTCGCTCTGAAATACGGTCTCGTGGACCGGAAATTGCCGTATTACAAGTACTTCCCGGAAGCTGTGCTCGAAAATGACCGCGCCAGGCTCTACTGGGACCGGGCCATCATCACGGACAGGACTATTCTTACGAATAAGCCTGATATTGTGCTGATGGACCGGGCACAGTCAAGGATATTTTTGGTCGACATTACCATTCCGTATGACGAGAACCTCGTGAAAGCCGAAACAGATAAACGAACAAAATATCTGGACCTGGCTCACGAGGTGACCGACATATGGGGTGGTATGCCGGCCGAAATTGTTCCTGTAGTCGTCTCTGCGAATGGGCTAATCCCAGTTAGCCTCTCGGGTCATCTGAGGCGACTGGGACTCCGTGACGAACCGCTCCGGGCTCAAATGCAGAAGGCGGTGCTCCTCGATATCGTCCGCCGGTTTATTTACCTTTCCTCCTAACCCTCGGCCGTTTGGTCTCCCCTGCCGAGGGCTTCCTTCTATCCAGGCGGCGGAGAAGTTCCGACGGTTGCGTTTTACCACTTTGCCAATGACCGCGTCAATGAGGAGCGGTTCCTTGGTTCCACGACACGACGACATCCATTTTGAGCGCGCGACATCACCTGATTTGAGTCCATGTGACGAGCGATCCTCGCGCTCAAAATGGATGTTAGTGTCTTGTATATGGTCGGTAGACACGTGATGGGGCGGTATTTGCTCGGGTCTGTGGCAACCTGATCTTTAGGAACCAAATGAGTGATCCCAGTAGCGAAGAGGCTTGGGAGCGACTTCTGGTTGAGAGCCTCTTGAAACTGTCGGGCGAGCACAGCGTGACACACCATGAACCCCTTCAGCCAGTAGTGATCCAGCCCGTCAAGCCCCGGGCTTTTCCAGTTCGGGGCCCTACGGACCGCCTCAGCTACGTTATCCGGCGTTACGATGACGGGATCCATGGGCGTAATAGCCGCACACTGACTCACCACAACTTCCGTCCAAGGGCCCTCGTTGTGGTTTACGGGTTCTGACCACAGGCTGCGCCAGAATGCGACCGTGTCGGCCTGATTTGGTGCTGCGCCCGTTCCACTTACTATTGTTCGCTCCAATGATTTATAGAGCCTCTTCGGATCTGGATTCTGGTTGAACCGTGTCGACCTCTCGGTATATCGCCGAATCCGCTTTCCCCAAGCAGCGATTCTTTGCTTCAGGTCGTCTATGCGCTCCGTCAGTTTTTGCATTATATCCGGACAAACTAGCATTTGTCCCAGCAAACGCCATCCTGATGGTGCGCACAATCCTTGGCCTTGTATTGCCTGACCTGAAGCATATCAGACTGCCGATGAGGGCCTTAGCCTTTGCGATACGTTCTTCAATTCTTATTCTCCAGGCTGGGATAGTACTACTTTGTCCAGTAGCGCGTCCAGCCGTGGAAAGTTTGGCGCCTATAATACGGCAGACTGCCAGTGCGGCGCCAAAAAGAATTGAGTCCGTCTCGCAAAGGTCCCGGCTGGCTTCCAAATAGGTAACCAGTATTGGGTTCAGAGCCCTCACGACAGCCCGATTCCGCTTGCTTAGGGCTAAGCGGGGAAGTCGCGGTCGATTTTCGAGAGGCGTACTGCGCGTTTCCACAATCGCCTCTTCCAATGTACTCCTCATTTGCTCTAGTTCCAGTTCCTGGGCGACTGTTCCATCATCGTTTGAATCAACCACAACTGGCGTATTCACGGCGGCATTCACATTTTCCGTTTGCACAGCAAGTTGTGGTTCGGATTTTCAGATGAAGGAACAGCCTCACGTCGTAGCCGTTCGAGTTCGGTGACATCAAATGTATTTGAGTGCAAGATATACCGAACTCTGTCTGCCAGGTTTTGCTCGGTGACGGTTACAGATGGCTCCAGCTCAGCAAAAAGTCGATGCATCCTTGCCCGATACGCAAAACCTCCAGTTTCTCCCCCTTTCGCCCTAAAATACGCCCGCAAAGCGTTGCTGTTCATCTGGGTTATCCAACGCATGCGGCGTACTCCATCAGCGGCGGGTGCCGATTGCTGGGCCCGCGAAGACCCTGCCGACACCAATCCAGCGGTGGGGATGATGGATGCGAGGGGCTGCTGGGTGGTCGTGCAGCACCTCGTGTTCGGCTGGCGGTTCGCATGCTGTCGCGTCCAGCGCCAGCTCCAGACGCGCCCTGGCGACCTCCAGGTAGCGGCCCTTTACGCGTTCTATTATTATTTGGGGTATCTATATAACATTATTATTGTGGGGTATCTATATAGCTTTCTCATCTGGTTGGGTTCTATAAATATATAATTATAAATGAAAATGAAAAGATAAATATACATAAATATCAATAACATAAAATAAATATACATTTAAAAGCCCAACGAGATGGAGGCCCTCGGCAGGGGAGACCAAACGGCCGAGGGTTAGGGGGAAAGGGAAAGAAACTGGCGGACGATGCGGGCGGTATCGAGGAGCACCGCCTTCTGCATTTGAGCCTGGAGCGGTCCGCCACGTAGTCCCAGCCGCCTCAGATGACCCGAGAGGCTGACTGGGATTAGCCCGTTTGCAGAGACGACTACAGGAATAATTTCGGTCGGCAGACCACCCCATATGTCGGTCACCTCGTGAGCCAGGTCCAGATATTTTGTTTGCTTGTCTGTTTCGGCTTTCACGAGGTTCTCGTCATACGGAATGGTAATGTCGACCAAAAATATCCTTGACTGTGCCCGGTCCATCAGCACAATATCAGGCTTATTCGCAAGAATAGTCCTGTCTGTGATGATGGCCCGGTCCCAATAGAGCCTGGCGCGATCATTTTCGAGCACGGCTTCCGGCAAGTACTTGTAATACGGCGATTTCCGATTCACGAGAAACCGTATTTCAGAGCGAGCTCCTGGTGAAGAATTCTGGCTACTAGGTTGTGCCTGTGCAAGTACTCAGAGTTAGAAAGCGCCGAACAACCGGAGATGATATGCCTAAGTGACTCACCGGGATGGCGATAAGCTCGACAGATGTCCACGGTGCCATCCTTTAGGATGTATCTCCGATAGTTGTTGGTCTTAATAACCTGATCCTGTATTGCACAGACAAAACCCTCGGTTTCCCCGAATAGATCACCAAAGCGTAGCCAGTGGAGGGAGGTTACTGTGTCTACGAAAGGCTCATGTAGAGCCTTGTAGAACCTCCCGTGGAGCTCCTTCTCCTTCCATACGTTCTCCCGGTCGGAAATTGTCTGCACTGCCGGGTCTTGCCATTGCTCGTTGGCTAAGGATAGAGGGGTAAGTCCTTTATCACTAGAAATGACGTCCTTATAAAATGGATCATCCGATCTCGCCAGGAAGTAATTACGGAGGCTGCACACTTCGCGATTATGCATGGTGAGCGCGCTCAAGAAGCCACGCCCACCATGCTTTCGCGGCAAGTACAGCCTCATTACCGACGATCTCGGATGATGCATCCTGTGGGACGTCATGGTAGTGCGGACTTTTCTATCCAGGGCGTTAAGTTCAGTCTGAGTCCACCTGAGTATGCCAAAGGTATACATGAGGACAGGCATGACCCAGCCGTTATATGCTTGTGTCTTATTCACACCGGACAAAAGGCAGTTAAGCACTTTGGTCAAGCATGCACAAAACACGTCGCAAACTGACTGTTTCATACCAGCCTCATCGATACCGATGTTCTGTGACATACCCAGGTATCGGTATGTTTCAGCCTCGGAAAGGGTCCTTAAGTTGACGGGCATAGATAAGTCTATGCACTCAGAGTTAGCAACCCTACCCCTCTCAACATGGAGGACCGCACACTTATCCGTCCCCAGCTCCATTCCAATGGAATTGCTAAATTCTCAAGTGATGTTTAGCAGTTCTATAAGATGGAAGCGACTGGAGGCGAATAACTTGAGGTCATCCATATAGAAATGTGGGTCACTTTTGTCCCACCTTTCCGAAGCTGAAATCCCCTCCCGGAGCCCTCCAGTAAAGTATTGAGAGGGTTCAGGGAGAGGCAAAACCATATTGGACTCAGACAATCGCCCTGGAAGATGCCCCTTCTGATCCTTATGTGATTCTCCGCAGCCATCATCCGCTCGCCCAGATAGCAAAGGATCGTACTCCATTGCCCCATACACTGCTCCAGGAAGTCTCCAACTGCACAGTCAATTTTGTACAGCTGGAGGACTCTCTTTAGCCATATTATTATTATTATTAATATGTGGGGTATCTATATAGTTTTCTTATCTGGTTGGGTTCTATAAATATATAATTATAAATGAAAATGAAAAGATAAATATACATAAATATCAATAACATAAAATAAATATAAAAGTACTAAGTAAATATATAAGTAGTAAGTATTATTATTAATATTATTATTATTAATAATAATTATACTACGAAATCCGACCCTGGTTACGTCGTGTTATGATATGACGTTTGTATTATGACAGATGCACTAATTTTTCTTGTATGAAAAACTTATGAACAAAATATTTAGATGGGCCTATCCTTCCTTTTGAAATCGTTGACCCGTAGGACACCTTATTATGTACGAATATGAAAAATGTTTGAAATTTACCGGTTAATCGGCTTAAAACTTATAAAAAATCCGCTGTTGGACAAAGACCTCCCCCTTTGATTGCCTTATAATTTTATTGCCGATGCCATTGATATTTGGCACAGTTGCCTCGTTTAACAGGCGGTTGTGCAACCGTAATTTTTCATTTGTTAGTGGTTATTAAAAAGACGATGCTGCCCATCTCTTGGTTTATTTCGATCTATCGACTTTTACAAATACCCACAGGATGATATGGGGTTGAGGATACTCTTACAAGGTATTGATAAACGAGTAGTTAACACGATTATCAATGCTGTAAATAAATTTTTCATAATAATGATTAGCAATGAATTCGTTTGTAATAAAAATAAAAATATGTTTGTAATTTATTTTGATCTAATTAGTGAAACTTTATTTAAAATAATTCTGAAGCAAAAGTTTTGTCTAAAGTATTACTAAAAACATGAGAACCTGATGAGTGTTATGAAGAGACGGCGTCTAGTGACCGGCGGATCCGCTATTCCTGGCTACGGTGGCGAACATAGTAAAAGCGAGGCAGGGGGTGCTAAGAATCTCTGGTGGGGGTTCAGTTGCCACCTAAGATGACTCGACCTGGCAACATACAACGTAAGCACACTGAGGATTGACGAGAAGATCATGTAGCTAGAAGAAGAGATAAACAATTAAAATAATACTAGTTTTTACGGAATTTATCGCGTATATTTAACTTTTTTAAATACCCGACGTTTCGAACACTTTACAGCACTCATGGTCACGGGCGGGACTGAGATGTTCAACGTCCATATGTCATAGTTAACCGCGGTTACCATAGATTAAAATTTAACTTTTGTTCTGATCTATGCAGTATGAACTTATGGTATCTTGAAGTCTAGCAGTTGTATGCTTGGGTTGGGATTTAATTTTATTTATTATAGGATCCCAAGCAGATGGTAGCACCCAGCCATCTTCTCTATTGAAATTAGGATGTTTTTTGATTTCAATAGGCTCGCGAATCATCCTTGGAAGGAATCGGTGTTCTTTAGCGAGGATTTGCGGTCTATCAAATCTGATGTAGTGACGGGGGTGATCCTGTACATGTTCACAGACTACAGACTTCCCGGAGCGTCGATTCTTCACATCAGCTATATGTTCTTTAACGCGGGTTTTTATTGATCTTTTAGTTTGTCCTATGTAGGAGAGACCACATTTACAATCAAGCTTGTACACTCCTGCATCTTGCAGAGGGACATTACACTTGACTGATGGTAAAAACTGACCAATCTTCTTCAGCGGCTTGAAGTATGTTTTGATGGAAGCGCGCTTCAAGATGTAGCCAATCTTGTCAGTGACTCCTCTAACATATGGCAGTACAGCAGGTACACGCTCGACTGTGGCCGGCTTCACTCGTTAACTGTGATGTAGGCGCGGGACTCGAAGCTTGTTGTCATGCAAAACTTGCTTGACATGGTGGAGCTCTGCAGCCAGGTGTTTACTGTCACAGATCCCTCGTGCTCTCTGAAACAAAGATTTACCCACGGTAGCTAACTGTGAAGGATGGTGGTGAGAATCGCCGTTTAAATATCTAACTGTATGGGTCTTTTTTTCTATACACAGTATGGCTCAAGGTGTTATCAGGATTCCGAATTATTAACACATCTAGAAAAGCTAAGGAATTGTTTGCCTC